ACTACTACTACTACTACTACTACTACTACTACTACTACTACTACTACACTACTACTACTACTACCACTACTACTACTACTACTCCTACTGCTACTACTACTACTACTACTACTTGTTGCTACTACTACTACTACTATTACTACTACTACTAGGACTACGACGACGACTACTATAATACTATACTGCTACTACGACTACGACAACCAGTACGACGAATAGTATATTAAGACTACTAACTGCTTGAACGAGTAAACTACTCCTTGGATTTTACTTGTACCACCAGACTGCATATCGTGGCGCAAGACGTCGGCAATGTGGAAGACAGTGGCCAGTTGACAAGCGTTATCCCTCAGCGCCTCTTGGCTTCCCGCATGCCGCGGTACTGAGCTTCTCCGCCACGGCAAGGCGGACGCTGGGCAGAGAAGAAAAACTGTGCGTACGCAGGCGTCGCGCCCCACCCTGGCGATGAGCAGGTAACCTGGCGAGCGCAAACAGCGAGCGACAAAGCAGAACAGAGTGAGCAGAACACTTGGAAACAATGGCGGCCACGCCACGTTGGAAGAAAGACCTGGCAGCCACTCCAATGGAACGAAAGCACGAGCTACGAGATTGGTGCGCTGTCAGCGCTCATACAAGAAGATACCAGAATCGGCGAGAGGACAAAAGAAAAAGCATAGACTTCTTTTTGAGCGTCAGTATATCTTGTGTCAGACACCGCAGCGTCTTTTGCGCGGGGGCGCGTCCGATTTGGTGGGACGGCCCGTGCGTTTTCTGCTGCTAGGCAATGCGGTCAGAATCACAGGCGGCTGTGGGAAATTCGGAAGGCCGAGACTGCGAAGAAAAGTGGAAGGCTCACATTGTGCATGCATAGCAGCTGCCGGGCAAGAGCATAGAATAGAGGTGGGTCGAACCTTCAAGTACGCGACGCGCTCAAAATGAAATTTGAACGACTGAGCTCCGGGCACTCAAAGTAGCTGGGTGGATCAACACTTGCAAGACTTTCAAAGTAAGGGCACGGTTCAGTGGCGAAACTGCGGCTGCGCTGGCGAAAGCAACCCAGGAACAATCATTGCACTGCTGCAAGACATAGAGGTCGGTAGGGGCCAATTTGGCAAAGTTGGCGGCGCAAGTGCGCCCAGCCCGTGTGAGCGCAGTGCCGTTGACCAATTGTGGATCTTGAGTGGGCGGAACAGAGGCCAGCGGGGTGGAAGCTGTCCACGAATACCAATGCTGCCAGTGATCTGTGTACAGCTTTTGCAACACATGAAGCGCATGGCCAGTGTTTCCGCGGCCGCCAAGTTGGTTCAATTCCCGTTGCCAGGAAGAGTGGATGGCCTCGGCAGGCTCACTGCCACTACCAGATCCTGAATACCATCAAACCCAACCCAGAAGCTTAAAGATGATGTCGGGAGAATGGTGGCCTTGGAAGATGGCTGGCATAGGCCGCTCATATAATTCTGCAACCAATCGGCCAGGGTGGGTTCACCGAGACGCCGAAGGGTTGCGAGGAACGCTTTCCACAGCCAACTGAAAAGAGGTAAGGTCGGAACGAAGCGAAGGATGTTGATGACCTCCAAAGCAAAATGCACGTATTTCTTAACAAACTTCCCTTTTCGCGAGACCAGCTGCTGGCATTTTGCTTGCATAGTAGTGTGCGATTTTTCCTTGAAGTGAAAGAAATCGTCACACGGTCGGGAAAGCGGCCAGACATGGCGACGAGCTTCTTCGATGCTCGGGTGGAAATCTTTGTGCAACTGCAAGCTCATCTGCTGCTGTAATGGCTTCTTGTTGGGATGCCTCGCTGTCCAGAGGTCACAACAAGCGTCAAACAAGTTGACATAGTTCGCCTTTGTCTCAGCATGAAAAATTGCTTGCAGCAGCGGCATGCCATGTGAAGTCCAAGCACTGCTCTGCGTGCGGCAGCCTGCGCCCATTTTTGGCAAATGGGTTGGGCGTAGCTCATCTTTCACCAGCAAGCTCAAAGTCGCAACGCCCATGCCACGGTCCAGCGCCTGCATCTTGGTATCCACCGCCAACGCTATGTCGCTGCCAGTATAGCGACTCAGTGTGTCAAGCATGCCTGGGTAAGCAAAGATAATGCACACCTCAGCATCCGAGATGGGCGGCAAACGTCGTGAACCATGGATGCTTTGTTGGCTCCACTACCATCAGAAATCCATTGTGTTTGGACGCTAATCACAGGATAATTCTGGATCTTCTACCCACCCTCCCATCAGAAATCCATTGTGTTCTCATGCTAATCACAAGCTAATTCTGGATGCTTTGTTGGCTCCACTACCATGTGTTAAACGTTTTGGTAAAACACATCCATTTGCTACGACTACGAAGACTACGACGACTACTACTACTGCTACTATACTACTGCTACGACTACTACTACGACTACTACTACGACGACGACGACTACTACTACTACTAGTACTAGTACTAGTACTAGTACTACTACTACTTATACTACTACTACTACTACTACTACTACTACTACTACTACTACTACTACGACCACTACTACTACTACTACTATTACTACTACTACTACTACTACTACTACTACTACTACTACTACTAAACAAAAGAAAACAATACAAAACAAAACACAACAACACAACACAACACAACCAAACACAACAAAACACACCACACCACAACCCAACCCAACCCAACACAAAGTTAATTCTGGATCTTCTACCCACCCTCCCATCAGAAATCCATTGTGTTCTGATGCTAATCACAAGCTAATTCTGGATGCTTTGTTGGCTCCACTACCATTTGTTAAACATTTTGGTAAAACACTTCCATTTGTTAAACATTTCTGGAATGTTCAACGTTTCTCATTTGTGCGACAAACCACAAAGGTATGTGTACAAAAACAAAACAAAACAAAACACAAACAAACAAACAAACAAGCGCACAAGCGCGAGTTCGAGTTCGCTGCTGCTGCTTCTACTATTCTGACTGACTACTACTCACTCCAAGCCCAGGGGGGTTTTTGCGACAGTAATTTCAGAACTGTGGCAGAAAACCCTGCTTTCCAGCAGCACCGTCGCAGAAAACCCCCCTTGCAGGTAGCACCGTCGCAGAAAACCCCCTTAACTGTGCAACTGTTTTAAAAAACCCCTAAAACTGTCGCAAAAAACCCCCGTCCCGCCCCACTAACCATCGTTCGCTTGCGGCACCTGCTCAACCTCTTACACATGCTCTTGTTGAGATACTTCAGGAGGAAGAAAGTGTTTTCTTCGTACCGGGTCTTGTAGCATCTATGTGGATCAGCCGCGGTCGAATTGAGAAGTCCATTTCGTGTGGCCAGTGTGGGATTGTCAACTATCACCCTCTCTTAAATTTATAACAATTAAACTGCTTTGGAGGAAGGAAATTAAACCGTGTGAGGTGACACAAGCATCTTGCAGGATCTTGCAGGATTCTATGGGGAAAGGGTTCTCAATTTGGAACTTTCAAGAGGACAAACTTTTGTCCTAGTGGTGTATAGTAAAGTAATGTATTGCATAAAGAAGCTGTTTATTCATGGAGATCAGGGTTGCAAGTTCCAGCAAAACCCTAGGACCCTATGGATCGATTTGATGCTGGAAATCCAGATTCCGATGATTCTCTCCTGTAAATTCTTGAATAACACAATTCTGAAATATTCTGAAGATCTGGATCCCAAACAATATACACATTCCCTGCACTTGCAGGAAATCAACATCAGAACTCTCAGGATGATTGGTCTTCCAGCGGAATTTTGACACTCAAGACTCAAGACATCTCAAGACCTACTTCTCCACTAAGCCTGCTGGGTCAACTTCTCCATCAACTGCTCGATCATCGTTTTGACCTGCATGAGCAAGTGCCCCCCAAACAGTCTTGAGCGACCATTTGCATCGTGTGTCCCTGGCATAAGGTCCTAAGACGGTGAAGCCGTGAGGCCGTGAGGATACACCAATCACGTCACAACATGCCTTCAACCGCTCTTCCCACCCAACCGCACTTGGCCTACCTACTTCACCCGAAGCGGCCCATGACTGCCTGGCCTTAGACAACGGGTCGGCGGAGACGCGCACCGCCAATGCCGAGAGCATGCGGCTCTTGAGCTGGTCGGCCTTCCGTTGCAAGAAGCGGGCCACCTGGTCCTGAAGCACAGCAGGCACTTGAAGGTCAGGGGGGTCTCTCCTTGGAGTGTAACAAGGATGCTATGCTCGGTGGAGGCCATCGCAAAGAGGTGGGAGGCCATCGCTACTAGTAGCAAGAAGCTACTAGTAACAAGGAGATTGGAGATCAAATGCCACCAAGGTCAGGTGGGCCGCTCAGCTCCCCAGTTCAGCTCTGCTTTCGGTCCAAGAGATCCTCCCCCCCATGGAATGGAGCGATTTCTGAAGGAATTTTAGAAGCGTCCCATGGATGAAGCGTTAGACTATATATCTACATCTAATATCATCTAATCATATAGTATAATTACTATATGTAAATGTACCTGTAATTTGTCTTGGTGTGTGGACATCTACCCTCACTCCAAAAAGAAACAAGCCTGGCCTCATTGAATGCTCCCTAGTGTGGCTTGTTCAAGATCTATTCCACTTCCATCTTTTTGAGATCAAGGGCACCATATACCTAGCACCAACCAACCAAAATATGGCCCCTTCCGACTTAAACAGGGTATTGTACCATCCATAGCTCCCAAAAAGCTACCGTCCATGCACAAACGCGCCGCCACGAAGTATTGCGCTCGTTTGGATCGCAGCGGCACGGAGCGACAACCAAAGAACTCCATCCAGCCTCTTGAAATTTCTTCAGCCTCTGATGTTGCATCACCCCAAATCACCCAAACCCCACGTGGTGCGAACACGTGGGGTTCCCACGTGTTCGCACCCACTTTGGGCGTGGGCGGGAACGCGTCGGGAGGACCCGGCGCGGAACGCGGCACAGCGCACACCGTGCTCCTGGCCCCGATGGGCTGCGTGCTCCGCCCGCAAGAAGGCCAAGGCCGTCAACTTGGAGCGCTGCCTGCGAAACGATCGTTCTGGACTGAGCAAAGACGATCGTGGACTGGCAAGGGCGGAAGAGGGTGGAAGAGGGTGGAGGGGCAAAGCAAGCACCGAAGCAGTTGGCGGAAGGGCAGATGATGTTATCTTTTTTGATACCAAAGACGTGGAACGCGAAGCTAGAAAGCCTGGCTTCCATATCCTTAAGCTTTACTTCCACGTTGGATACCAAAGCCTGCCTAAAAGCGTCCTTAATCTTCCTTGCACATGTATATGTCCAGTCATTGCTATATAGTGGCGATCCACTAGCGTTGTGGATGCCCTTGACAATGTGTGCGGAGGAATGCCGCTTGCTCATCTGCTTGCAACTCAGCTGCAAAAGTCCCGGTAAGTGCTTGTCAGCCTGGTGGAGAAGGAGCACAATGAAAAGTGACAAAGTCTGGTGACAGTCCATCTGATTCTTGACCCCCCACCGTCAGTTTGACTCAGTTTGACCTGAGAAAGACACTTGAAAACTATAAGTATCAGAGAAAGCATGGTTCAAGCCTGACTGACCATAATGTTGGGCCCTGCTCTTGCAAATGTTCCCAGTCCTGTCCTCCTGTCCCTGTCCGTGGCTCGAGCGAAACGCATCCCAGGCACGTTCCCCGCCACAGTGCCGCTGGAGATGATCTCTTGGGCCTTGGCGATGGCTTCCAGCTCCTGATGCGAAGAATCAGTTGAAGCCATGGTGTCCCTCAATTGGCTGGCTGGATGGATGGTTGGATGTGATCCCTGCAAAAAGATGTGAAAGAAAAGCAAAAACTGCCAGCATCCTGGACTCAAAAATCCCAACGATGGCAACCCAAACGATGGCTCCTCCTTCCGGGTCTCTTGACGTTGCTGATAGGCGGCCTCTTTCTTCTCGCAGGTGGCTTTCCTTGGCGCGCACGGGGTCGTGGCAAACCCCAAAGGCCACAGAAAGTGTCGAACTGGAGATCGGTTCACAGAGAGGTTTGGTCATGGGTCCTATCTGGGTTAAGGAAACATACCCAGCAGCAATGAGGCATCTAGAAAATCAAGCACTCTTGGGAACAAAACTAATGGAATACAGTGTAATGGGAAAACACACAACTTAGCAAGCCCTTGTGAATTGGAGAGTCTTTGACTTGGAAAGCCCTCGATGTAATTGTGCTCAACACTTTTCTCCAAACTGTGCTGGTATGAAGTCCCACACTACTTTGATCATGTTGATATCCACTTCGACCTCCTTCGGCTTTCCCGAACCCAACCCGTATTCCTCCCCGCTCCGCGGACGGCTCCATCCGTCCGCCCCCGTCCGGGGCGCAGATCTGTGGCGTACTTCACGTCCGAGGCCTTGGCCGCGCGGGTCTCCTCCAAGTCCGCCGAGTCGGAGGCCTCGGCGCAGATAGCGACGCGAAGTACGCGAGATGCGAGAGGGGTGGGGGTGGTGTGTGTCTCTGGAGGCGAGGGGTGTTCTTTGTGAGTGTGTGATTCATGGAGTGGAGTCTGGAGTGTGAGGTGGACTTTGTTTCTTTTGGGGAGGATGGAGGCCTAGAGAGAAGATCTGGAGATGGGTGGAGATGGGTGGAGTCTTGGCGACTCTTTTGGGGGGGAGAGAAGACGGGAAGACGAAGATCGTTTGAGGATACAACGACCAAAACGACATCCCCATGGATTCCAAGCTGACTAGGAACAGTTCTCTCCCTGCCTTGGACTGGAGCTTCTTGGTTTTGAATTGAGTCTTCTCTTGCTGCTCCTGCGGCTGTCGCTTACAAAGGGCGGCGACTTGGACATGCCCAAGGCAACTGCACCATTGATTTTAACGAGGATTTCCGGTATGATAAAGTAATATAATATATATATAACTTAACAGTGTAACACGATAAATAGAACTCCAGAAAAGAACTTTAATTGATCTCAACCCAATTCCTGGGATGTTGGATTTCCCAGTTCCATCAGATTCCATCAGCGAATACTATAGAAAGACGTGTTCAGAAGCTTCAGAAGCGAGAACAGCTGGACCACTTCCCCAACCCATGGGCCACTTCCGTGGGCACCCATCTCCTTCTTGGACTGTGTTGCTTGTGTTTCCAACCGTTGCACCAGCAGTGCATAGGCGTGCTTCTTCGCCTGGACTTCGCGACGCCGCGTGTGAAAGACGGGGGTACGAGGTCTGTTGGAGACGTTTGGGGCAGGTCTGTTTGATGGAGAGAAGCCTGATATGAGTTATGTTATACCAGTTCCTTTTCAACGTTTTCAAACACTCTCAGGTTGAAGAATGGGATCGAGGATGATCGAGGTGTTTTGTCAGTGAAGAGACAAACCTTTGTGGGCTTGGACCAACCACTGCTTTCGCATCCGCTCCACTCTGCAACTTCAGTTGCTCCACTCTGCGAGTAGAACAGCCGCTCCAGAAATCAAAACACTGCATCATTGTCCTTGGTCCTTCGTTGGTTCGCAGCTTTTTGGAGTGTTGACCACCGAGCCACAGCTGTGAACCTCCCATGACCCTCTCAGGTCCCAAAGAACCTCCGAGCGGAGCCTGCTCCTCGACCGAGCGCGAAGTCAGCGTGTCTCGCCCTCGTGGGAGCCTGCTCCTCGGACTCCAGAGCGGTGCGCTCATCTACAAACTTGTCCTTTCGGCGGCAAGCTTGGCCCAAGCCGCAACCTTTCGCTCAACCCATTCTGACGTAGGACGCGTGGTTGGTCTCCGAAAAAAGCCTCCAATCATGTTATTTCGGGGCCCACCACGTGGAGGCATCAAACGTTTCAGAATGCATAAATGGATGGTCTGCCCATGTCTACCCCTTTGAGACTTAAACATATACTTGAACAATCTGACACATCCAGAGACTGATTGACTAATTTCATGTTCTTGCATCCAATCGAGGCGTACACGCACAAGTACCCATCCTCGAATTCCTTCAATTAAGTACCAGGCTCCAAAGCCAACAAAACCATGTTTCAAAGGGTGCCTGTCGCGTGTTGGATGGAAAATGCAAGATCACCGAAGGTCTGTTGAACTTGGTGCTGGAATTGGCTTTGGACAATATGTTGGGTTTTCTTTCAGCCGATCCACCAAAACCCGCCATCATCAGGGCATCAGGGCCTCAGGGCCTCCATCTGTTAGATCGGACGATCACCAAACTCGTACCGACCAGGTCCCCTCAAGACCAGCTCCTCGTACCGAGACCTGCGAAGACTGCCACCCCCTCCATTCCCACCCGTCACGTCGCTCCGAAAACTCGGAGCCGCTCCCTCGGCGTCGAAGGAAGGAGACGAGCGCGCGAGCTCAGCTCCTGAAGGCTCTCCAGCATGCTGATGACACCGTCGGACTGAAACCTCGCGGTTTTGGTTCGCCGGTTGAGTGGAAGGGGAGTGGAAGGGGGAAGGGGAGGGGGGCAAGGCCTGCCCTTTCTCGGGGGGCTGAGAAGCCTTGGGGGTGACCCCGCTATATATAGATCGATCTAGTTCTTCATGGACAAAGTTCACTCGTCAGCTTGGTCTTCCCAGTCTGCAAACCTTCCATATGCAGGTCTTCCCAGTCTTAACTTCGTCGTAAACGCGGATGACAAGTCAGTGCATGGGAAGCATCCATTACTGCTGGAGGAAAGAAACGAAAGAACGGATTCAACATGAAGAGTATAGATCGAATGCATGAGAAACCTGCCATGGGATACCATGATCGCTGCCATCGTCGTCTCTGACTCACCGTTCCTCGTCTACATGGGAACAAGAAGCTATTAGAAACAATAAGCTACTAGTAGCAAGTGCATCGCTTCTAGTAACAAGTGCCTTACTACTAGGAACAAGAAGCTATTAGAAACAATAAGCTGCAGTAAAGAATCTTTGAGGACCACCACATGTGCGATGCCTTTTTTTCTGCCGAGAGACTCATAGGTCTTGGGCTTCGGAGCCTGCTCAGCTCCCTGCATGATCAAGCTCTCCTGCCAAACCATGAACCCAGCAACCGGCCGGTAGAACTATGGATGGAAATCCCTCCTGATCCTTTTGAAGGATCGATCCTCTTGAGCAAAACTTACATGGCAAAATGAAACATGTCCACTCGGACGAGGAGCAGCATACTGTATCAGGACCGGACTCATCAGGACTATAAATATGTCAGGTGACTGTCCTCTCAAAAGACATTCTTTCAGGTTTCAACCCGTTTTTATATGGTTTTATCATGTTTTATCATTGTCTAAATCTGCGCTGAGAGAAGCAAGAATCGAGGAATTGAAAAGCCAGGCGCAAAGACTGTTTGTCATGTTGATGTGGTCATTCTAAAATGGGGAAGACTCACAATGTCAATGTTCGGGAAACATCAATCACATCAAATCACCAAGGGCAGAAAGCATGGGACCCCTCAATATGACAGCATCGCCAATTTGACGTCCCTCGGGCAACAGATTTTCTACCGGCCCCGCTGTCACAGCCTGAGTCTGAGTCAATACATGTCGAGTCAATACCTTACCAGCCAGCGTCGAAGACAAATCGATTGAACACGAACAAACAACCGCCCCCCCCCGAATTTGGGTCCCCCATCCAGTTAGTAGATAACCAGTGGTTCCAAAGACTAAAGCAGTAAACCGAGCAAGACCCTGCTTCCTGATACTGTACAGTATATTGATTATACAATTTGCCTGGTCTCTGCCTCCCCATGTCTCCTCTTTCTCGTCTGAGCCGGTCGTTTGCGCCGTGCGCAAGTAGGCATCGATCTGATCCACCGCATCGCTGGGCATCCGCTTCAAGCTCTTGGCCGTGGTGAGCTCCAGCAAGGACACCTCCAGCCATTTCAGCCGGCTGAGCGGTCATGGAGAGCGTGCGAGCACGCGCGCGGGTGTGTGTGTGTGTGTGTCCGAAGGGGGTGTTTTATTTGTTTTCTTGGGAGTTGGGAGCAAAGAGAGGTGGTGTGAAAACGTGAGAAAGCAAGAATTTGAAACTGCCAGGTGGATATGACTGGGACTCCATGTGCTCTGGAAGGTGCTCGTCTTCTGGAAGGGTGGCGACTGAAAGGCCAAAGTAATAATGTACATGACGGCCCCAAGAACGGGGTAGCGTCTCGTCAGTTTTGAAGCAACAATCACCCTTGACATGACTTTCATTGACTGTGAAACAGCTGCACATCTATCATCTATCATTATCACAGCATATGTTCCTCGATGTCCCTGCCTTCTTGTCCTTATCCTCCTTCAGCGACTTCATCGCTCGCCCGATGGCATCAATGGACTCGGTGTAGTCCTGCTCAGCATGACTCTGGGGCGGATTGGCCAAAGTTCCGCTACCCCTGCTTTTTGGAGAGGACGCTGGGATGGGGCCCAAAACACAACACTGGAGACCAATGCATGTAGCCCAATGCAGCGACTGTTACATCAGTCCTAGTTGCAGGAGACCTGGAACTATGCCAGTTTGATAGGGAATCTTTGTAGGGTGCAACACTAGGTCGTGGGCATGTTGTGGGCAATGGTTGGGTCGTATCACTCAACCTGATGGTTGAGTATAGCCCTATACATACAAACACCAAACAAAAAAAATACCCGACTTGTGGGGCGGTATCTAAGAAATAGACACCCAAAACCTGCGCGCAAAACGAAGAAAAACGCCCGGCCCTCAAATGACCATCTCTCCACCAGGGAAGTCTGTGGGGGTTCGAAGAGATTGGCCTGAAACAAAGAGCCCATCGGTGCCTGAAGGGTTGTCTGGAAATCCGAGCGTTCCTGGAAAGAAGGAGCGGAGCGTTGGAGCTTGGTTCTTAGGGTAACGGGAATCAAATACTGTGGTTGTCAAAACATGTGAAAAGGAATATCCATAGCTCTGTCAAAGGAAGTCAAGATCGACAAGGTGTCTTGGATCTTCTTGGGGGGGTTGGGGTCACCGTCAGCTCAAAGCCAACGTGAAAAATGTATGTTCATTGTTGTTGGGAACGACCTCGATGAAAACATTGGTTTCCATGTATACATGGCACAAGCGCCACAGTGTCGTGTCAAAACACGTTTTGATGGGGATTAATATAAACCATCCTTTAGGGATTGATTGTGCCATAAACCACCTTTTTAGGGATTGTGCCATCTATATACTCTCAACCCACTAATTATACATGATCTGAAATTGAGGACATGAGGGGCCGGAGTGTCGGTGACCCCACGGGATCACCACATCCGGATGTGGATGCTGATAAGTTTGGTTGTCTGATATACAACCATCCTGGAAGAGATAGAATATGAACTTATGAACCCACCAACCCACCAAATATGATGAGTTTCCTCTCATGCTTGTCTGCATGATCCCATATTTGATCTATTCCAGGATGACTTTGCATATCCATCGATCGATCTATCATGACCGGCCTTGCACACGTCCCCAGAGTCTCCCATCGCCAAACACTGCGATCCTGGGGAGTCTACAGCCCCGCCGCGTGGACCACGCAGTATACATCTCGTATCAAAATGCCTGATGACTTCTTAATGGTGCTTCAACTCGCTGGATTGGGCATCCTATACAAAACCAATACCAGTCCACGTCGATCCCAACCCCTGGAGACCTCAGACTCACCGCGCACCGAACCGGAAACGGAACTTGACGTACGCGAACTCCTCTCGCACCGTCCGCACTGTCTCCCGCACCGTCCCGCACCTTCTCGCGCACCTCCGTGGTGTTGGCCTGCTCCTTCCTCGGCAGCCATCCCAATCGAGGCCGTGAGAGGACACACGCTTAGGGTTCCCCGCATTGGTCGTGTCGCGCGGGCTTCATCCGCAAATAAGCGCGGACCGCGGGGCATCGGTCGTGTCGCCGTCGTTCTTTTTTCGAAGTAGTGTGTGGAAAGGATCAACGAGTGAAGTGGTGAGCCCACAAGAGACCATGTGACAAATGCATAATGGTTTCTTTTGGGGGGGCTATATAGAGGTCTTCAATTCTTGCTCATACTATCTCTCGTGAACATCTTTTTGTATCTGAGTGTTTGATTGCGTTTGTGTTCATTCACACCGGGGAGGACAGCTCGACCTGGCTGTCAAAATTGACCTTATAGTGACCTGGCTGTCATAGATTTCAAACGCAAACACTAAGACCTACAATGTACAAACCAAACGCCATAGAACTGAACAGTAATAGAGCATTAAACTGCTGTAGAAAAGGAATAGAATAGATTTATACACATATATATATATATTTATATATATATATATTGGATGCATTTGGAGCATTGAACGTAGAGCATTTGAGCAATCCACGAGCAATCCATAACTTATAGAATCTGCAGATGAATCTTCAATAATCTTATATATAGACATTTATGGACCCTTGCAAACTGGTATGGATCATATATGGGTGTGTACCAGTAACTAATGGGTAGACTGGTCCATGTTCCTTTTTTCAGGGGGTCTTTGAGGGGGTCTCCCTATTTTAGTACACACCCTAGGCCTCGTCGTACCTTCTTAGAAGGTGTGACTGGGGAGGGTGCCAGGAGGGTCCAAAATGATCCAAATACCTTTTGAGGAGGTACAACTGGAGCCCTGTAGGGACATATGATTACGTAGATCTCAAAAACCCCAAATAGATCACAGATCACCCCATCAAAAAGGTATTGATGTATTGGAACATACTTGTATTGATGTATTTGGCGCCACCATGCCACTCTCTGTTTAAGGAGACTCCACTTCTCCTGAGTCTCCCAAGGCCTCCGTCGCCCAAGGCTCGTGGCCGTCTCCGCGTCCGCCTGGTGCTGCGCGGCCTCCGCCTCCAGGCGTTCGGCATCGGCCCCAGCGGCCGCGATCTGCGCCTCGGATGGAGGGGGGGAGTGGAACTCGGAAGGTGCAGGATGAGAAGAGTTTGATGGTGTCTAGACTCTCATGCGTGCGCGAGATCTCTTGCGGCTGAACGCCGCCCCTTGCCCCCATTGATCCACTTGAATCAATTGAAGGACCAACCAGCTGTCAAGGGCTCGAACCCTTTCGTCTGTTCAGTCTGAAGTTATGTTCGTCTGTTCAGTACCGAGTCGATGCGCCGCATCGGCGGAGGGGAGGGAGGCAGCTGCCGGGGAGGGGAGTCGATGCGCCTGGAGAGTCTCAATCTTGTCGGTGGCATCACTGATGGATCGCTCCTGGACGATGGATATCCATCGCGAAAACCGCGGAGCGACACATGTGCGGGGTCTTGGCTGCTTGATGTTGCCTTGTGTTTGTTCTTTTTTTGATGTTTGCAAAGTGACGTCATATATTGTCTATGTATACTGGATGATGAGTCTAAACAGTCTAAATGAAAAGGAAACAAATGACAACATGAATCGCAATTCAACAATCCAAACAAAACAAATTGTACATGCCAACGTCACACCATTTTCAAGGACGCAACAAGGAGGGAGGATTGCTTCCTTTTCTGCCAACCCAATCTCGCGTGGCCTTCACCCTACCGCCAAGGACTGAAGTTCCAGATCGGCACTGTCACTGGCATTCCTTAAGAATCCTTGCTTGATCTCTCCATGGCAAACGGTCGGACCCGGCCCGAACCCAAACCCGGATGGTGTTGCGGAACGGGGCCCGGATGCGGAACGGATCTGTCGGTCGTCCGTCCGTGTTCGGTGTTCCGTCGGCCTCCGTTCCGGGCCTTCTCGTCGAGGGTGAGCTCGCAGAATTGCCGGAACTCGGCAAACTGCAACTGCTCATCCTCCATTTGCTTGGTGCCTGGCATCGGACGTCACACTTCTGTGGCGAGCAGTCGGTCAGTTGACGCGTGAGAACACAGAACATGGACTGAGCTGGCCTTGCCTGGGGCAAACATGTGAGACACGTGACTGCAGGATACTGCAGGGTGTCTAGGGACCTCATCTTCTATACGTCTCAAACCAACACTTGTCAAGTCAAAAATTATTGAAAAGGAGTGGCGCGTTTCGATAAAACAATCCTTGAGCATGTGTTTTCTAAACTCTCACACGTTGATGTGTATGTTCCAATATATTACTTTCATTGGATGTGTATCACCCTACAAATCCATCATGTTTGTGGGTATACCGCCTTGCTAAACCCGAGAAGCATCGTACACAGGGGTGCAGCAAACTCTCAGCAAGCGGAACCCACGGCGGTTCGAACCAATGCAAACATTCAACGGTGAATCGGCCGATGGCTTGACTTGCAGGGGCAATCAACAAAGGATCGGATGGGTACGGATTTCAGTCGAACACGCAAGGTTGAGCATCAATGAAACAACATGGTAACGTGTGTGCGTGTGTGAGTATGGAACAACCCCAAGCAACGCACACCAATGGGTCATCTGGTCATCCAGGCTGGTCGTCCATCTAGTCGTCATGTAGTCATCATGTTTCCTTGCAGTAAGGGTCCCGAGTCCTAGGGGCTCCCTAGAATTCCAATCTGTTCTCCGGTGCCGCACCTTTCTCCTTCATCTTCTCCATCATGTCGATGACCTTCTGCACAGGAGTCACATATGACCTGTGGCGCAGGTTACGACCTGAGGGGTGGAGCCATCCCCAAAATGGTTGGATTCCTATACCCCGAAGCAGGTCATTCATCCAACTTAAGGCAGTGAAAGTCGGACCTTGCGCATTGTGGGGTGCCTCTTGAGTGATGTAAATCATTCAAAGTTTATAAAGGAAACTATAAGTCTACAGTCAATCAGGGTAACTGGATAACTCTTTCCAAACAAGTCATCACGAGATGTGACAACCCACCCCACCATGGTCACATATATGTCACCATGGTTTGTGGATGTGTATGGCTGTTCTGAGGATCTTCAGGATCTGTAAGGACCTGCTGGTAGGTATCTCAAAGTCAACATACTCAAACACCTCCTGGGGCTGCCCGCCCAAGCACGGGGGCCACCAGCAGGAGCCATCGGAACTGCATTGCGGGGGCTGTCGCGGGCAGTTTGGCCCGGAGCGGCGGTGGCTGCGGAGGCAATGGGAGGTGCGAGGCAGAGACGGTCTCGTGCGAGGCTTGTGCAGGTTTAGGGTTGGGGCGAGGTTCCAGTGGGCGAGTTGCTTGGTGTTGGGGCGCAGTGTTTCACTGCCATCATATATCATCCATAGATCCGCAACCCCCCCAGCTCTTTTCAAGTCGTTTTCGACCCGGACGTGACCTACGACCGCCCGAAGCCGGGCGAAGCCGGGCACCGTGTGCCGGGCCGACGCGGCGGCCGACGCAGCCGTCGATTTTTTCTCCGTCGCAGAGCGCTTGGGATCGGTCGCGTCCGGCGAGTAAACCTCGGGTCGGTGCGGAGTCGAGGCGCAGCGGTGAGGCCCGGGGCGCGAAAGACGTGAGTGACCTGGATCAGATCAAGCGACTTCGGGTCGTTTGATTATCTATAATATAAGAAAAAAGAACAAAGAATCAAAGATCAATGCACAAGCCATCCTATCGCAGGTGAAAATTCATAGTCAATCCCGAATCCGGTGTCGAAGCCCGCAAGAAGCACAAACATGCACAAACACTATAGGACTATAGTCTACAACCCTTGTAACTTTCAAAATCCCCTTATCGACCTAATCCTGGACCCTTTAAGCTCTTTAAGTAGCTCAAAAATCTTCAGATCGTTTAGTGTTCCCTGGGCACCGAGGCGGGGCAAATGGCTGAGATCAGGAATCTTCCAAGCCATTGCCGCTTCGAATTCCTGGCACAAAGCCCGGAGCTGAAGATGGCGATGGCACCAGGCCGTTGGCGATGGCGGAGTGTCTGGTGAAGTGAAGACTTGTCCGACATGGATCCTCCAAAAAACAGCATGGTGGATAACACACATGGAGACACTGATCATCACAGATCTCCTTGTTGCGCATCTTTAAAGTGGAGCATATCTTCCGCCCCTCTGGGGCCGCTGGGTGGGTAGTGAAGGACAAATCCAAGTGGGGGCAGTAGATGCGAGTATCTACTGTAAAGAGTAATAGGGATTCTCTTGATATACCCTATGGATCCACATACCTTCTCAGAAGGTATGACCTCCAAGACATAAATAGTCTCCAATCACCGTACCTCAGAAGGTATGTGGATCCACAAGGCTACGAACACGATTGACTTTTCTTGCACAGTTTCACTGGTCTCCCCACCTGTCATTCCCACGACCCCCAACGGGTTTGGCGGGACCAGGGCCCCGTGCCGGAAGTTCTAGCCGGACCTCTGCTGTCGACCACGACACACTGAGGTGTGCATACAAACAAGGCTTTGGTGTACGTACTGAAAACAACTGTGGATTGGACGGCCATGCTCATGTTGAGACATGTTCTTCTTAAAATGGTTTGTAATCAAAACACAACAATTTTCGGAAAAAAAAGAAGCACGATGTGTTCATGTACAAAGCAACAAAGTCTAAGTAACTATACAGTAACCCCATGTTGACCGCGGGTTATGCCTCATTGTGCTGCGCCCCACTCGTCTCACTGTGGATGATGGATTCAGCAATCCGTTGGTTGTGGCTGGTTGTGGGTGCGTGGCACCAAGTGAAACGCATCTTCCTGGGTAGCTTAGGCTTACCGGGGAATTTGCCGCGGGTCAAAAGCAAAGCATCTGTGGCAGCAGAGGCACTTCAAGATTCTTAGACATGTCAATTGGTTCAACGTCCAAGGCTTTCCACTTCCAAACGCATCCAACTCGCTGCACATCAACTGGACCTTGCTGACTACAGTTCTCATCCACATCGAAAACTATCCATCCAAAAATACCTGGACCTCCCTGAGAATCCATATGTGGTGCTTAGTCCATTTTGTGGATGGACCCATCTTCTGAACAACCTTCAACCCATCCCATGAGACCCCCATATATGAGACCCCCGGCAACTTCCGGCGACGGCTCTGCCGTCTTCAGCAGCGCGGCCGCCCAGCCGCTTCGGAGGGCACCGAGGAGGTCGCGCTGGCCGTGGGTTTCGGTCGCGTGCGAAGCGAAGACCCTCCGTGCGACGGCGCTGCTTGGCCGATCAGTTGGGGTGGGGGACTGCGGGGGGGGGGCGTGATGGTTCGGCTCAAGTCGACACTATCTATGATTGGGGGGACCCTATCTCGTTTAGACTACTTAAGTAGGAGGTCATGTCACAGTATCGCGTTCAGACTACTTACTATCTCGTTCAGACTACTTTAGTGTCATCAAGCCACAGTATCTCGTTTATGTGGGGGGCCCTATCTCGTTCACAAGCGATTACCTGGTGGTAGACAAGCCAATAGAGCAAAGCATGCCGTAGACTAGTAAAGCCAAGCCTATATAAATAAAAGTGGTTGCTCAAAAGCCATGGCAGTCCCAGAAAGCCCTATGGGGCGTCGATTCGTTCATACATTTCAATCGTTGAGACGAGTGAGAGCGATCGATGGGCAAAGTTCTTAAGTTTGGTGCCGTCTTTGGGGAGTTCTCCCGTCTTGCCATGTCAACTGGTGAGAATCTGACGTCTTCCAAATTAATAGTCATGCATGTCCAACCATACCTTGGTATCTGTCAAATGGAGGGCGGTGACATCCTCTCTAAGAGATTAAAAGAGTAACGGCCGAACCTGCAACATCCACCAAGTTACGTTCGCCTTGGTATCTGTGGTCGCCCATCTCAAGACACAAACGTGGTCACTACCACCGAAAGAAACCAGCCCCGTGTTTCAAACAAAAGGGTTTCAATCAGAAAGGGGCTGGTTTCTTTCAGTGAAGACACAAGAAGTGGTCACACAAGAAGTGGTGTTTTCTTAGAGGCGTGTTTTCACCAAAAAAAGAACAATCTTTCCACCCCGTTCGCCTGCAGGGGTGAGGCGAACGGGGTCCAAGTTTACGCCACCCGGCGAGTGACCCCGTTTCACACCTTTTCGGAATCTCCGCAATGGAGACAAAGACTTTGGCCGTCGACTCCCGCCAGCACTTTGGCCTGGCGTCGTGCTTTGGGCACGGATATCGACGATGTGTCATGTGTCCAGAGATGTCCAGAGCATTAAACTGGCAAACAGAACATATATACAGGACCATCGACTGGGAATCTTACTGTGATTTGTGTTTCGAATATGCTCTCCAAGGGATTCCTACTCACAATGACCTTGATTTATGTTTTTTTTGTTTGTTCTCTCGCTGTTCTCCATGAAGACACGGTGTCACGATGCCTGCGAAAAGCGGGGCCAGTTTCCATGATTTGATTGACCATTGGATTAGGTATAACTGGCACGAATAATGAATATGATTGACATTGGTATACATGTATATGATTAGGTAAACTCATCAAGCGGCCACCCCGATCCGTGGGTCCGAACCCTGCGGATCAAAGGTAGATCCGTCCGTCGGGAAACCGAAGAGAATCAACCGAGCTCTCTTGGAAAAGACATCACAAGAAGGCAATTCCCCGCCAATTCAACAGAAACCAACCGAACATGATAGAAATCAAAACATGGTAAACATCCGAGGAACATCATCTTCCTGGCTACCGTTTCTCTGTGTCCACCTTCGTTCGCCAACGTTCTACTTCCGGTTTTCCCACCTGGTCGAAGATTTCTTTGGACGGTTTTTCCTGAGCTTTCAAGTTTTCTTGAATGGCATTGAACGACGTCCTAGTCTCACTAGGTAGCCTGTAAACATTCTGAGACATGAAATAGGTCTTTTCCAACAAAAAAAATCGTAGCGAGGGAAACATGATCGGATTCGCAGTTGGGTCACAGGTTTGCCAGTAGAGAAACCTATATAGACCAGTCACGGCTGGAAACCCAGCATGGCCGAACCAAACTGTGACAAACACCAACTCAGGATCATCCACGAATGAACAAACCAAGAACTAGGCTAGCTATGACATGCTATGACTATAGATGTGGAACATAGACGTGCAAAACGGCGCTTGTGTAAAGCAAAGCTGCTTTGGCTCACAACAATGTGTACGACGTTGTTGCGCCCGTTGTGGATGAAGTTCAACATTGCGCACGTTTGGGGGAATGCGTGTTCGTTTTAGGAGCTCAACATTTGTCGAACTGCCGATCGATATATTATGTTCCCAGAAAACCTTTAAGGTGACAACATGCGGCATTCCAGCAAAGAACATGGCAATCTTTTTCCAACAGCTGCCTCCAGAGGTCCAGAAGTACTGTGGTGACGCAATGTCTATAGTTAGTTGTCGAGCTTTTTTTTCCAGCTTCCACTCACAAACGTTTCTGCGTTGTCCAAATTCAAATATAGGATGACACCAAAATACCAGGTCAAGCCTTTCGCTCCAAGCGTTTCATTCTTCCACGAACGCATCGGAAGTGTCCCGGGAATGCATGCGCGACTAACATCATCTCTTGGAAGCAGCGGCGTTACGGCTAGCGTCGTTACGGTGAAGCTCCAGCGTCTGAGCCTTTCCATCTCCAAGTGCGTATGCGTAGAACAACAAGTTGGGGTCGTGAAGGACGCACGTTTAACGATCTTTGGCTGACTCCCTGGTCTCAGTTGCATGCGTGACGCCGTTTTACTCTGAAGACTTCATCTACAAACATGCAAACATGACAGATCGGGCACATTTTGAGCTTGTGCATGATTGTGCCCATGTCTGATATTTGCTTCGGCTCTGTGATTTTCTTGTGCCCATTTGGCTTGCTTGTCCAGTCCACCTGCGTTGACCGACAGAAGTGGCCCAACGTCCATGTCCACACTGGTTATACCGCACTGCGTCGAGCCGTTTTGACTCGGCCCTGAATTGGGAGTCAAACTGAGTCAAAGAGCTCGAACGACTGATCAATGCTTCGGATGTGAACGAGCCGGTACGCCGCTCCACCGGCATTCCTATTAATAGAATAAAAAGGAAAAAAAAACGGTGCTCGTGGCGTGCAAGCGATACGCTCGATACACGACGCGCGCGTGCTGCGTGAAAAGGCTGGGCTGCCTTTTCGGGTGATGATGGTTGTATACATATATCACATGCTCCACTCAGGACCAAGCGCCAAAGCAGTGATGTGCTCAAACAGAAACACACACAAACCAACCAACAAACAAACAAACAAACAAACTTCAACCCTTGCGTCATTCCGCCGGAGAGTATGACCAAAGCAAACTTCAAATCGAAAGCAACGGGCACTTCTGCCATAACTCATGCATACTGCACAACAGGGCGTAACACATCCGAATCATGCCAAACGTCGCGGAAAGTTCCAAAACGGTCCAAACCGACGGTTGAAACTGAGCATTCTAAAGAAAGTGCTGCACAAAAGAAGTCCTGCACAAAACATGGTTACAGTACCAACCACCTAAAATATGGAGCACTTCACCTTCCTGAACCACGTTCCAAACCGTCCATTTGGAGACAAAGGGGTGTTCAGGATCTATGTTAATGACCAGCATGGGTGCCATGGTGCATCCCAGGACTCCTGTCTTTGTTGAAGCCAGCATGCACGCATGCACTCGCTGTCTCGGCGATTCACCGTCTCCGCCCAGCTTCAACGCCAGCTTCATAGGAGGTGAGAACGAAGTCGAACTTTTGTAGAATTCCGAGGCGATCAAGAATCACCGTCAACCTTGCGAGGCCATGGATCCATGTCGATTCACATATTAGCTCGGGTTTAAGGTTGTTTCTGAGTGGTTGAGACCCTACCCAAACCATGTTGAGCTTTTTGGGCTTGATTGGAATCTGGAGCACTTTTAGCACAAAGGAGCTGTAGCAAGAGCTCTTCGCAACCTAAGGGACCCATCACCTCTCGATTCACCAGATTTCATCCTGACACAACCAGCTACATCTCAGCTATAGCTTGTGGAATCCTCAGTAATACCTCTCTTTGATCATTACAAAAGCAGAAACCATCCCCGCACCCCCCAAAAGGGCCCAACTGGCCGGTCATCCAAAGGGCCGGTCATCCATGTTGGACAAGACCCCGAGGCGGCAGGCGCTTCGATCGCACCACTGTCGCAACTCCACCTGCGCCGCGGTGCCGCTGCTGCCGCGGTTCCCGACCGCGGTCGCGGTCGCGCGACCGCGGTCGATGTGATCGACGCGGTCCAAGGCAGGCCGTTCGATGACCAAAAGGAAGACTCTTTACCAGGACACCCGGACTTGGGCTTCTATTCATAGCCCCGAAAAAGGTTAAGGGGTGTCCATTAACCACCCCTTGTGACTCCTGGTATGAATATAGTCTACCCTAAGAATCCGGGCCCGGAGCAACACATAGGGTTGTTCGGGCCCGGACCCCTGCCATCGAGAGCCCAAGGATCTATCATCTCAAATGGAATTTGGTTGCAGCATGTTACAGCAAGTCGATGTTTGCGTGACTCCGCCCAAAGATCTGAAGATCTCCACTTCTGAGACTCGATCTTCCGGTGAGGACGACAAATCCACTGCATGTTCTTCGCACTTGATCCGGCCAAGCCCCCCCGCCAAGGAGGATTCCGTGTGCGGAAACAACTCCCATGCCTCCTACGTGTGCGCACGGTGGACGCCCCGAGATGGACACGAGACGTGGGGAACGGTCTCCAGGGCGAAAGGAGGGGGCTTGTCTGTGGGTTGTCTGAAGGGCTGCGCATTGAAACAGCTTGAGCAGTGTTTACGAAATTTGCTATGTACTATATAGATTATTTAATTGCAAAGGGGAAACATTGGGCATGCCTCATATACATTCATATATACTGCTATCATCAGGCTATCGAAGTGACTATAACCTGGATGCTGCTGCAAAGTTGGTGACGCCTTTACCATACTTGGACTGTAGACCCCATAGATTTCTCTACAAAATCCGACTTGGTCATGTGGAATAACCCATACCAGATAAAGCATGGTGTAGCACATTCAACACAATTACCAACACAAAGCAAACAACTCTCACTGGAGTGATGGTGATGATCTTCAGAAACTCCTGATTCCTGTCCCTACACTCCCTGCATCTATGGTCCCAATCTGGCCACCCTACCGGGTCAAACCAAATACAGCAATGTAAACACATTCACCTTCGAACCCTCTGGTCCCCTACTTCAGGTAAGGTGGCTTTGTCAAACCCAGGCATCACAGCTGCGATGTGTTCCCTCCCCGGCCAGTCCTGCCGGGGTCGCATCCGACCGTGCGAGCCGTCATCGCCACCGACCGTCACCGAGTCCTCTCCGGTGAAGACTTCGTCGTACAAGTCTTGGAAGACGGCCTCGAAGTCGCTCTTTTCGAGGTCACAACCTGCCAGGACTGCAGGACTGCAGCAGGACTGCAGGTTGAACATGTCGCAGGACTGCGGCAGTTGCAGCTGCAGAGCGGAGGGACGCTTTTTTGCAGGGAGGAACAAAACGAAGAGTATCAGTATAAGTTAGGATATATATGAAACAGGCCCAGCAAAGTCCGTTGAACCTTCTTCAGTCTATACTGGAATAAAACCAATGGAAATGATACAGTTTTTGAAGGTTCTAATTCTGCAGGTAATGGAAGAGTAGAGTATATGAAATTTGATTATGTTAATGAAGAGGTAGATGTAGCAAAACCTTTATCATTACCATATAATACATCGTTGAAATGGAGCAAAAACAAAATAACTGAAACTGTTTCAACGGTTGATACTATTACAAGGTTTGAAGCACCTTCTGCTAATTCCGCTTATCATTTTTTGTAGGTAATGTTTTAAGCGACGCTCAAAGAATTCTGACCATTGACAATAGCGAAGTCTTATCAAAAAGAAAATTCAAATGCGAAAGTTTTGATACAATAGTAAATATTAACGATATGGTGTTTTATGTCAATGGGGCTGAGTTTTTAAGGTTAGACCAATCAGCGGGGAGAATAGTAGCTCAAAAAGGAATAGAATTATCGGGTGGAGAAGGACAAATGCTAATGTATGAAGATAGCGACGCTACATTGAATGTTGTTAGGTTATGGAACCAAGAGACAACAAAAACAGCAATAATGAGATTAGGATGTGGAGCAACTGAAAGTGTTATTGAAATGCAAGAGACATTCGCAACATTTACACAACCCATAAGAAGTAATACATACAACTCTAACAAAAATAATGATGTTGTATTTCAATCAAACGGAAGTGAATATATGAAGTTTAATTCAACAGACATTGCTGTTAGTCAAGACCTTTCTATGAATTCTACGAAGGGAATTTTTACATCCACCATTTCAAATAATATATCTAATGATTTGAGTTTGTATGCTTCACTGTCTAACACTATGAGGCTTTATGCGAATGCAGTTGAAAAGATGAATATAACATCAACAAAGATTAATGTTAAACAAAATATGTCTTTTCAAACGGGTGGTGGTGTTAGTGTTTATACTGATGATAATTTTGTTAATAATATTGTTGCGAGAGCTACTACTGCAGATATGGAATATATATACAATGGCACTACATATATGTATTATGATTATGATGTTTCTACTTTTAAGTTTCTTGTTGATGTAGAGATTAAGGTTTAATCAATGGTCCTGATAAGAAAATCAAAACAGAGATTGAAGATGTTGAACATAATTGTTCTGACATTGTTAAAAATAATAAACTGGAATCTTACAAATACAAAGAACCGGAGAAACACGGCAACGACACCAAAAAACATATCGGTTTCATTGATAATGATGTAGAAGAAGTTTTACCAGAAGAACTTGAGGGAATAGTCAATAAAGACAACAAGATTGAACTACATTGAGATGAATACCATTTTGTGGAAAAGTCTTCAAGAGACATTAGAAAGAGTTGATAAGTTAGAAGCAAAAATTCAAGAGTTAGAAAAGCCTAAGGCAAAAGCAAAAGCAAAAAGTAAAACTGAAAAATATTGATATCTAATAATATAAGATGTGTAGTAGTCAAAGCAAACAGAATGAAAATAATGTTATAGAAAAAAAGAAAAATGATGAAAATGAATTGGGTATGTCAAAGATAGATAAATTACAATTACAAGCAATTAAAGAAGTAGTAAATCGTATAGAAAAGTTAGAAAAAGAAAAGCAAACAAAAATGTTATATGCTATTCCAAAGGTAGATTTATGCAAAATGTCTTTTTTTGAACTGATAATATAAAAAAACTTTTCTATTAATGAAATTTGGTGTCTAAAATGGGTCCGAAATTTAGCAGTCATTTTGTTCTTACAAAGGAGGGTCGATGATGCAAAAAATGCAAAAAAGAAAACCGGCATAACTTGCATCATCCAGACCTGTTTTTTCAAACATATACTATAAAAACACTCCAACCAAAATAATTTTCGTTGAGGTGTTCTTGAACCCCTTGTTAATCAAAATCTACTAATATTTTCTTATCAAGTCTAATTCTAAACACATTATTTATATCACTTTCCATTAAATTAGCAAATAAGAAACTATATTTTTCGTCTGTTGCTTTTTCATAGATTTCTACTAAAGTTTTTTTGGCATTATGACTATTTTTGTCATCCATTAAAAGGTTTTTCTTAACCAATAGTGCTGACAATTCTTCTATCATTGTCTGAATTTCTTTATAGTGTCTCATTTTGAAAAAGAATAGTTGTCTTGAATTTACCCCGATGATTGTTGATAATCCATGAAAATTTTGTGTAGAAGAGATGACATTGCAACCAAAATGTATCCCTCTTATGTATAGTGCATTTAGTAAAGAGTTATGTCTAGAAAAAACGGGTGTCATCAACAAAATCATCTACAATGATTAATACTGAAAACAATTGGTTGGAATCGTGGTCTTTTGGTATTTAGTGATTTTATGTTGTAAGTCTAGTATGTATTCTAGGTCTTCTGGGTTGAAGTCATCAAAATATGTCTTGTGTCTATCTTTAATTTTTTCTCTATGTAATCTTTTACTGGCAACCATACACTATCAACATTGATTGAACTTGAAAAGATGAAGATGCGACTGAAACAATCCCTATACAAATCTAAAATCATAGATTGAAGAAGGATAGTCTTTCCGGAACCTGAGGGACCTACAACAATTTGTGAGAAGGGAATTCTTGGTGCTACATCATACTTAGATTGTTTGAATTCATACTCTTTCATTTTAGCAGGCTTTACATAAGGAATTAAACTTTATTCATTATAACTATTTAGATAATAAAATCTAATGTGTAGTATTGAATGGCACTTTTACAGGAAAATGAAGATGCATTCAATCCTCAAAAGAAGTAATTAGTTTGTTGTTCGCCAAGATTTACAGTGGAAAATCACCAAAAAACGGAATTCAACTTTCCAAATGACACCGTCATTCGGAAAGTTCTATAGAGTTAGAGTTTTTACTGAATAAAAAACTCTAACTGAATTCAGTTTCATCTCCCTCTGATTTCAGAATGTGTTTTGCATCGAGCAGGCTTAAAGTATAATTAGGTGTAAAACCAATCTAAGTATATTCATATGAAACCAAGAAGAAACTGTGACGATGAACGGAGGTCGCAAAGCTCGCCCTCGCCTCTGGCAAGGCGTCATCCTCAGGGCTACGCCGTGAGGATGAAAGTTTAAGAAAAAACCAGTGCCAGAAGATTTTGAGTTATCAGATGATGAACCAACAACTGTAACATTAGATGAAGATAGGAAATTGACTAGCAAGTTCATAACCTTTGATTGTCCCTTATGCAGTGGAAAATTACAATTGAGAAATGAAATTGAAATAGACCCTAAGGGCATAAAATGTAAATGCAATCCATGTAGCTTCAAAATCGGTAAAATGATAAGACTGTAAGTGTCAATAGAGATGAGAATGGAGACATTACATTAGAAAGTGAAGACCACAGTATCAGCTTCTCATGGAATAGGCAAATTACACCAGAAGACCAAAAGACAGAAAGCACAAATAGAATGATAAGTGATGTAATCAACACTCCTAGGAACAGTAGTAGTAAGAAAATAGATACTATGGATTAATTATTGAAAAATAGATATCTAATAATCTAATTATTTAACTATTAAAAATTTCTAGGTTATTATATATCCTATATGGTACCCAAGCCAGTAGATGAAATTGATTACAACCTTTTAAGTCAAATTTTTGAGAAGGTAAAGCAGATATACATTGTGCAAAATGCTATGTTTTCTAAAATCAATGAGTTGAATGAGAACATCAAAATGCCTACAACAGTTGAAGATAAGGAAGAGCAAAAGAAAAACTGGGTGATATTTTTGAGAAGAAAGGAGTAGGCAGACCATCCGGCAGGTTTGAAGAGAGACAAAAACAATACTTCAAACTAGTTTCAACTGGTAAGATTAAATCACCAGTTCAGAAAACACTAGATTACTATGGAATATGCAAGGGTGAAAACAATGAATGGATTTTGAATGTTTTACCAAAAATTTCATAATAATATATCTAATATTAATATGAAATTGCTTGAACTGTTCAGCAAAACGGGGAGTGTCAAACAATGCTGACAACATTTATTTGCAATATTTAAAGGGGTTTCAAAAGTATACCATCTAACGCAATTGAAACTATGATGCGTTTTGTTTAAGGGGCTGGACTAAGAACAGCACAAGCAAGACTAGCAAGACAGCAAAAAAGCTGAAGTGTTCCATCTATTTTCTCAAAAAATGCTCATGGATTTGCCAGTTGAGCTTCAGCGGCTTCCTTGTGCAATTTGGAAGCAAAAAAGAAGCGTTTCTTGATAGGGTGAAAATACACTGCTTGACAGTTCTCATTGCGAATTAGTGCGGCAAGCTTCTTCGGGAGGATGCGAATGCTGTTGAAAACCTCTGACATGCCTTCAGGATAAACTTTGAGGAGCTCTTGCAACACCTCGCGCCCCGTAAGCTTGGGATGCGCTTGCAGTTCCATGAAGCCGACAACTTCCTGAGTAGCAACTCGCTCATACTCTTGCTTCATGTCATCCAATGATAATCCCTTCCTTGGCTTTAAGAACACAAAAAATACCCTGAGAGGTTCAAACACTGAAAGAGTAAAACTTCATCTGCTCAAGCTAGGCACTCCAATTTCTCACACACCGTCACCAAGTCGCCCATCCGCAAGCCACCTGAAATGAACTCTGGTCAAAGTCCTCGCCCCTACCAAAAAAAAACTTGGAAACACCAAAAAAATCTCAATCAACACCAAACATGTTGTTGAATTGAGCTGAAACGCAAGCATCCACGAAGTCTTTCCAATTGCCCATGCAGTGCCAAAAGCTCCTTCGCTTCCTGCTCGGTCAAGTCGCCAACCCAAATGTCTTCCTGCCTTTCAATTCCACCAGCATCAAGAGCCAGCGCCACTGCCGCCGAAGAAGCTGATACAATCACCTGAGACAAAGGATAAAAAACATAAATAGACACAACTAAATTTCAAAAAACGGTTTCTGTTTGAACCATTTGGACGTAGTCTTTAAGCTGGAGAGCATGTGTTTCACAGCGCTTTTTGTCCGTCGCCATATCCTTTGCAGTCGAAGAGACTTGCTGGATGCCTCGCCCCAAAAAAAAACGGAACAAAATGACTCGGGCAAAATGCATGACAGTCTCAACAATTTTTTTAAAAAAATGTCCACTCAGTCCTTCAGTGGTTGCGCGAGGGATGTCGAGGAGGAGAATGGGATACTTGGTGACGTTGTCCGGAAAGTCCTTGAGTTTCTCGCGCGCTCGGCGCATCACCTCTTTGAACTGTCCTATGTCATCCAGCCTCTCTTGCTCGTACATCGTCTTCTTCCAATCGGCATTTTCGATGGTGAATTCCACAACACCTCGCACTCCTCGCAAGGCTTCTTCTACTGCCACCGACTTGCCTGATTGGTAGCGACCACCGATGATGGTCGCATGTTCTCGCCAGCTCTTGATGCGGTTTTTGATGGTTTCCATCACTGACCTTTGGATGACCTCGTCTTGCCGTCTTCTGGGTTCAAAAGGCTTCATAGCCTTTGCCAGTGCTGCTCTTATTTTGCCCTCGGAGGAAGCTTTGAATGTCCGCATTGAGTCCCTGACTGCCCGCACTGCCTGTATTGTCGCTACAACAAGACCCGAAGCAGACAGTATGACTTGCCAGACCTTTATGTCCCAAGCTCTGGATTGGGTCAAGCGTGGGCGCAAATCCTTTTTCACCTCAAGGGCAAAGATTGAGGAATAAAAAAGATACAATATATAATATCAAAAATATGCAAAACTGCCTTTGTCTGTCTGTCTGACCAAATAGAAAAAAGGTACCAAACAGCAAAGTTTCAATGCTACACCCAGTAAATTGAAGATGCTCAATGATGTCCCACCGTCTCGCTGATGCCACCTGCGGATGAAACAGAAACAAATTACTCACTTTGCATGAATGCATTCAAGACACACCCAATGTTAAATATGTCTTTATAACAGAATAATAAACGCAGCCGTGTCTTGAAACTGCATTTCCATCGCCAACCTGCGGTGGTGGCACAAGGCTCCCATCAACTTCATCAAACTGAAAGAAGCGACCAGCACCATCCATGGCTTGACACGCACTTGGTGCCTTTGGTGCATGGCTACAAGAAAATATGCCAAAACTATCCCGCAAACTCAAGTCCCGACTGCAGAAGAATTCGCATTATTCTAAACTGAGGGTCTGATTTTGGTAAAGTTGGTGTCTGATTTTGATTTTGGGCGAAATCGAGGTCTGATTTTGGTAAATTCAAGGCTGAATTGGAGGAACTCAAGGCTGAATTTGAGCAAAGTCAAGGTCTCATTTAGTAAATTCAAGGCTGAATTTGGGCAA